ATTACACGACATCAAACTCATATTCTCTATGGTTTAATTATTTTCGGTTATTGTTCGGTTATCGGTTATTGACCGAAACCGAACATTCCTTTTTCGGTCGGTTATTCTGATACATCGGTCGGTTTTCGGTCGGTTATTTGTTTGGAAATATGTAATCGGTTATTCGGTTATCGGTCGGTTATTTGACCGACCGACCGAATGCTCACCCCTACCTGTTTGCAAAGTTCCACACCCGAGCCCCACCCCATGCCTCATCTTCTCTTTACATCTTTTCCTACACTTTGGCCTAAACATTATAGAAGAAAGTGAAGGCTGGAATATGAGAAAATTGAGTGTTGCTATGATTCTTCTTCTCTCTTCATATGTTATCATTTATGTCATGACAAGAAGTGAAAATATGATTCTTTTCTCTCTTGGTCCATGGACCATGGTATTATGGAGTTTTTGTATTTATTTCTATTTTCGAGAAGTGATTTATTTGAGAAAATATTTTTTTTGAAAGGTAATTGAGAAAAAAATTGAAAAGTGATTAATGATAAAAATTGAAAGTGTTTGAATAGAAAAATGTTTCCAAAATGTAAATGTTAAAGTGTTTGATGAAAAGTACTTTTTATGAAATAGAAAAAAATTAAAAGCAGTTAAAACACGCTTCTCTTTCTTTTTCGAGCATGTTTGGTATGATGTAAAATAATTACTTTGCATGAGAAGTGAAGGGACGTAAAAGGTTTACACCATTTGATTGATTATTTAATGTAAACTATAGGGCTCTTTTAAAAACATTTTGCACTATACCATGTAAAGTATTTTACGTGGGGATGATGATAAAATATTTTGCATACTTTTTATAAAGCATTGCAATGTTTTGCATGCAAATTAAAAGTAAATTACATATCTAGCCAAACAATGTAATTTATTATTGGAATTTTATCAATCTGGGACCTGAAAGATAGATTAATTATCAATTCAGGATCTGAAAGATGAAATGTACCAGTATAGGACTCAAAAGATGAAAAACTATCTAGAACCTAACATTTCATAGGTTTTTATTTAATTAATTTTTTATTAATTCCATTGCTAATATTTGATGAAATTTTCTTCACAAAAGTTTATTAGTTTAATAAAACTAAATATCATTTAAATTTTTTAAAATAAAAATAATAATAAAATTTATGAAAACTTAGGTCTTAAATTGATAGTTTTCAATCATTCGGGTCCTAGATTGATAGTTTTCCATCATTCGGGTCTTATACCGATACAATTCATCTTTCAGGTCCCGAATTGATAGTTCGCTTATCTTTCAAGTCCCAAATTGATAAAATTCCTTTATTATTTTACATGCAAAGTGGTTGTTTTTCTAAACTTTCCATTCAATCATTTCGCGTGTAAGGATTTAACGTGTAAACTATCAAATGAGCTTTTAGTTTTTAGTTTTAAAGTTTTAAACCCCTTAGTTTTTAGTTTTCAATCGCTTCACTTTAAGCGGAAAGACTATTTGAATTAAACGCACTATTATTAGCTTTTTAAAGCAAAAAACTAAAAAATGTCATTTTTAATTAGACCTTATCAACACATGGTTTTATTTCCCAAATTTTGTATTCCTTCTTTTGGGCAATTTGATACACGATACTCTCACAAATGGTTTGTTTTGGAGTATCAGTCGATAACTCATGCATGATTGTAAATTTCAAGTTGAAAAATAAATTTGTACACTTTTTTAATGTTACCCAAATTTTAAAGTTCTCGTTTCAACATATTTCATAGCTACACGGCCTACACCTGTTTCTATGGAAGTTTCTAATGATTAAACTTGATGGTTAAAAAACATAATAAAATTAATATAGATTGAAAAGATCTATAAAAAGGAAACACCGTGCATTAGAATGGTATGCATAATCTAAAATCATGAGTAATATTAAATTAATTCATCTCCTCTGCAACCTATTTTAAATATAATTGCATGTTTGAATTTTACTACGGAGTACCTTCATGCGTGAAAGATGTTACAGCCCATTTTTTGTCACAAAGTTTATATACGCACTACTTGAAAATTTAGTATAGGTGTAAAACTTAATGCCATTTTTGATAACATATTAATTTTATGTTTATTTAATTAATTAGTTTCTATGGACGCAAGAATACTAATTTCATTCTTTAATTGAAATGAGCTATCATAGCTTTGAGTAGAACCTTAGGTGCTTTCTTAATTGATAAGGGTTTTTAATAGGAAAAACTACATTATTCTTTCTCGACAATTGAGTTGAGTTTTGATCGATTGTCTGTTAATGGGAGAAGACAGCAGGGCTCGAACTCATTTATTGCAGCAGCTGGAGAATTCATTTTTAGGTATAATGTGTAAATGAAAATGTCTATTTATAATGTGTATGTATTTTTGAGCGTACAATTATTAAACGACATAAATTGTATGCCCACAATTTGTAAAACCGGAATGGAATTTGCCCACAATTTAGTGGAATTTGCCCACAAATGTCTATTAGACTTTGGAAAACCGGAATGACTTTGTAGATGATGTGTTAGTTTGTTGTCCCGTGCAACGCACGGGTAAAAGACTAGTATCTGAAATATAAACACATTATAAGAAACTCGTGTGATATACTAGTATATTTAGACGTCCAATTTTTACATGTTCTAATTGTACTATAAAATGTCTAAAGGTTACTCAGTAGATAAAATATTTGTTGTGACATTATTTAACATAGTTAGGTTGTGGGAACTAATTTTGTGCGTATGAAACTATTTTTTTATTTTCTTTTTAGAAATAAAGTTTATGATTTTTTACCTTAAATCATATTTGTAAATCATATATTGTTTCCCTCCTAATATGTTGAAATACAGAAGGAAACATATACCATAACTAAATTATACTCCGTCCCATTTTGTAAGATACATTTTCCTTTTATGGTTGTCCCAAAAATATGAACACTTTCCAAATTAAAATTTTTACTTTCCCCTCTTGCCCTTCCCGCTGTACCCCATTAATCACGTCATTATCCTCCTGCATTTATTATTTGAGTGATCCAAAGCTTTAAATTATTGTGCCATTATTGATTACTAGGTCCCAATATATTCTTTTTATTGAAGGAAGAGTAAATACTCCTTATAAACATACGAAAAGGTCTTTTGTTGTTGAACAGACCACATTGGGTGCTCTTTTGTCTTCTCAATTAGTGAAAGCTAAACAACTTCAGATACGGAAATAAAGAAGACATACTATCACCTAGAGAGTAAAATTGTGATTACTTGGACATAATACTACTGACAAAAACTCATTCATACTTTGTGGAAGAGGATACTTGTAATTGAGTGGAGGTAATGATTTGTATGTAAGTGGAGACATTTGGCTTTGGATATACTTCTGTAAAGAAAAATGCTTTGTGGAAGTGGATAGTATAATTTTGGATAAGGAACACTACGGTGAAAAGAATGGGACACCTCAAGCAAAAGAAAACATAGTCTTATGACACGTGTTAACCTTTTCAACTATGGAGTATTAATGATCGATTTACGGCTGTAAAATTATTCGGAAGAGGTGACGGTCCATGTACCCACTGAAGGGTAAAAAAGGAACAACACTAATATTCCGCTACTTTTATTAAAACATGTGCCAGAGGTAGATGTATCTTTTGGGAGGGGGATTAATTCATTTTTTGTAAATTTTAATGGGCATGTGACTGTTTGTAGTGATATATATGAAGATAAATATCATCACTTGTATTATTTAGGTGCTATTGCACATTGGATTGATGATGATTGGCAAATGTATTAAATTTAGTTGGAATAGTACTTATAATTTAGTTGTTGTGTTTTTTAAATTTAAAAATCTTTTCCTTACTTTTTTGAAAGAAACTTGTAATTATATTATAGAATCGGTTGAGATCGACACAATGGAAAAAATTTGCCATTTTTAGTTTATTTTCATAACGCTACTCATGTCTCATGTCTACACACAAACTAGTAATCATTTTTTTATAGAAGTCCTTAATCTCGCGGTCTCGCCGTTGCGTTTCAAGAATTTCCTCAACCTCCTTATGTTCATTATTTTGTAATTTCTTGAAGGAAAATTTTTTTAAATTTTTTACCTACATTCCACCTATATATTCTATTGCTTTATGTCTTGATCCTCATATCAACTGTCAAATTATCAAACATTTTTAAAGTAATATTATACTGTTTTCTACGGTGAGTCCCTATGTATAATACGAGGACTCCCTATAGATCCTCAAGTCAATTCAACGAGGTTAGTAATCTATTTCATAATTTATTTAATGAGTTTCATACACAATATGATAGCTTACCCTCACCCCGAAACCGATAACTTGTTCATGTGAAGGAAAAAGTCTTTTTATATCAACAATATCTAGTCTTTTGAAAAAAAGTAAATCAATTCATGTCGTGGCCCAAAGCTCAACTAACGAGCTTTATTTATATGTAACATTTAATGTTGAGTATAATGAAGGGGCGACTTCGACATTCCACGATGGTGGAAGAACAACGAAGGAATGTTTCCAATTTTATCACAAATGGTCAAACAAGTGCTGTCAATGCCGATTTCAACAGTCGCAGTAAAACGAGATTGAGCGCTTCATCTTTTGAAACGCTCACTTGCTTCCATGATTGATTGAAGGCCCATTGTAGAACACAAGAGGTGAACATAGCATCTAACCGCTATTTCAATGAGAAAATGACAACCCACGCCGGAAGAGACTCAGATGATTAGTTCATGTATCTAAATTTTGAAGTTTAAACTATTTTCAGTTGTAATTTATAGTGTTTCTTATAAATATACATTTCTTTTTTAATGTGTAAATTCATTTTTTTAAAACAAAGTATAAATTGGTTCAGTGTCACCTCATGCTTGGGAAACCAAGACTAGCCGATCCAGGACTAGATCCGTAACCAGACAAGGTTTACCCATAATTACAACTCATGCGGCTGAACTTGACCTAGTGCACACGAATATCAGATCTAAAACTTTCGGGGCATGGGGTGCTCTAGAGTTTTAGATAGGAAAACGATATACACTATCCTTGTATTAAAAAAACTGATTATTTAACCATAGCATAAGAAAATACAAAGGACTAGTCACCCAAACAAATGATCCTCAAAATGGAAACTTTAAGAATTTTGATAGAGATAAGTTTAAATCACCAGCTTCGCACGTAGGCACGTACCAACTACTAAGCATAGACCACTCAGGATATAAAATGTAGCAATACATTTCAAACCCGAGTTAGTTAAACACCCTCATAAATACAAGTAGAAAATTAATTTCTACGACTATAAGCACCCTTACTGAAATAAATTATGTCACCCTCCTTCAATATAACTTTGATGCTGGCCAGATCCTTCTCATTATCAAACTTCATGGAGTCCTGCTCTTTAATCCTAATCTGCAACGAGACAAACATAAGAAACTCAAAATTCATATAATGGGCTGGTGGTATTGCAATCAATTTCCAGTTTTCACTGTACAAAATTATTTAAGCAATTTAAAAAAAAATGTGTTTAGTGAGCCCAAGTTTATTACTTGCTCACAACTGTTGAGGACTAGTATATATACAAGGTCTCTACATTAGTAATATGAAATGCGGAGTAATAATTCTGCAAGAGAAAAGGCAGCGCATCCCATAATTCTCTCTTCATTTTCTTCTCAACAACGCTCATAACAGGTTAGTAGTTTCCTGGAAATATAATGTGCTAAAATAATGAACTGATGACAGTATCATTTACCTTTTCAAATAGATTTGTGTACTCCACCGAATCTTCACAGTATTTATCAGCTAGCACACTCTTCAAACCCTGGTCATCGAAAATAATCGATTTTTTAAAACTCATACTTCAGAGACTAAACTCCTATGTAGACCAAAATGAAATACTTTATTTAAAAGAACGGGGGCTTTCTAAAACATCAAAAGTTTACTTCGATTATTCATATTTGTCATAAACAAGTTGGAAAGAATGACAAAAAAGTGATCGTGCCTAACCCTTCTCTCCCCCGTCTCTCTCGACATCTCTCGACATCTTCTCTCTCACTCGGCCATCTTCCCTCTAACCACCCTCAAACAGTCAGCCATCGCACTGCCATCGCCAGCTCCACCTTCTGCTCATCGCTGTCTCCACCATCTCAGCCGGCATTCAAAGTCGCCACCACCGTCGATGTCCACATTAGTTCTCTTCTTTAGTCCCTGTCCAATCGTGTAGGTGCTTGGTTTTCAGATCTGGTCAACAGAAGCGATGCCAAACCTAGGTTTTCACGTGTCTGTGGTGTGGCTAGGTTTCGCCTAGGTATAGGGGGCAGAAGTGGTTCCATGGCAGGGAGTGGAGAAGGTTCAGTAGCAAGGGCAGAGTTGGTTCAGTGGCAGGGGTGGGAGGCGGGGGGAGAGTGTTGGGCAGCGATTGTGCAAGGACAGGGTGGGGTGGGGTGGGGCTGGGGCTAGGGCTAGGGTGGTTGGGGCTGGGGTGCACTGGCCGCCTAGAGTGGTGGCCTCGACTATGGCGAGGAGGGGCAGCGGGGAGGGCGCACGTGTGGGGCGGTGCCGGGCACTGGACCAGATGGTAGTCACTGGTTTTGGGGTGCTGGGGCATGAGCACTGAGCAGGGCGGTCTAGGGGAGACGGAAGTAGCAGTAGGATAGTGGGGCCAGTGGAGTAGCAGGCGGCGGTGATGGTCACTAGCCAGCCGTGGAGGTCACTATTTTGCCGGAAAAAGTCGCCAAAAAATTATCCGGCGATCACAGCGACACATTTCACGGCAACAGTGAAATCCAAAAGTGGCATGAAAAGCGGTAGTGACATACAAAAGTGACATAAATTTTAGTAATGACATGACAATGACATAAAAATCTGACCTTAGTCACATTTTTCCAAATATATGACCTTCTTAGTCACATTTTTGTTCTTCTATAAAATTGGTCACATTTTTTGAAGTTGACTTCAATTTAGTAATATTCGAGGAAAAGGCACAGTACTAGAACAATACCTCGACAGCACCACTTTTATTAGTCAGATAATATAGAAATTCAACATTCTCTTCTGTCAAGTCAACTTCAGCGAATGCCTCATCTTCAAGAGCAAGTAACACTATAACCAGCATAGCCACATCTTTATCACTCCAATACCCAAATAGAATACTCAAGGCTCCCCTTCAAAAGAAAATCATGGAGTACATATCAATAATGGTGACAATTGTCTTAATGGAGAAAATACTAATGCAACACATTAAATATTCAATTCAAAATTGAAAAACTGAGAAAGAAAACCAATTCAACGGTGTAGTTTATATAAGCATAAGTAAATCATCAATGCATGTTTCAAATGTTCCCACATGTGTTTCAATGGCAATGAGATGCCAAGGCTAGAGGGGTTCACACATCCATGTCAGGTAAACACTAAAAAGTGCGGTTATCATCATCAGCATCAGCATTACCCCGGTGTCGCAAAGACTCCCTCCCACCTATGGTCGTGTAAGGAGGGATCGGATGTGCGCAACTTTACCCTTGTACTAAAGCACAGAGAGACTGGTTCCGGATGACCCATAGTGAAAATCTCATCGAAAATTGCATGGACTGACTGTTGCTTCATAACAAAGAAGCGCACTAGCGGAGACAGTTTAGTGAGCCATTTTGCCTTATTCCATCGTATTCCCAGGCCAAAAAACAGTGAATCTTTGGCTCTATTGCAAATGATGGAAAAAACACAAAAACGTGTGGTAAAGCATCAAAATAATTTGACCATGTGCTTTGTCATTTGCATATGTACTACTCCCTCAAGTCAAATAAACAAAAGTCGTTATTTAAACACATCTTTGTCTCCAAAGAAAAGTCAACTTTGATCGAATGAAAATATGTTTTTTCTTGTAGTTCTCCAAAGATGTGACCAAAAACGACACACAATAGGTTAAGGTTACTTAAACCAAAAGACATATTTGAAAATTTTAAAAATATAAGCACATTGGGTTTATGTCTTTATGATAGTTGTACACTTGTATGACACAAAAAATAAATAAATACATTGGTCAAACACTACTTTTTTGGGGAAAATTGTGGTACTAGTTTGGTCAACAAACGGACAAAATGAATCTATTTATTCATAACCTAATAAATTATCAATTACAACCCACATTTCTTCTTTTCTAAGAGAGAGCATCAATAAATCCACAACATGATAAATCATGCACTTCTTAAAAGAGAGGGGGGCATAAACAAACCTTATCTTAGTAACATGATCGCTCTCAAGAATTGAACCCAACAAGGGATCTTTCTGTATACGAGTCAGTCGTTCCTGACATCGTAAAAGTTGCGCTCCTTTTATATGCTTGTTAAAAACGCTGAATAGTGCAGTGGACTGTTAAACGAAGAGTTGGTTAAGGATTTTGATCAATTATAGAGAGAATTTTTGTGTAGAAATGAGCATGAAACCAGAAAAACCTCTTTCAATTCTTTAATTAGATGCAGAATGATGACAGGAGCACACCAAAACCCTAGTGCTGCACATCTATGTCTCTCAACATAGTGGAGATAGGGGGAAAGTCTTAACGGAACATCATCCTTAAGAGATTCCAGGAGTTCTTCTGCCATGGAAACTGCTTGTGGAAACTGCACTAGTTGGTCAGCCAATTTCTTGATGGATGTGTCCTACATAGGTTATAACTTAAAAGCTTGATCAAACAAAGTAAACCAAAACAATAATAATGCTCAAGCTGAAACCGACGTGTCAATCTGGATGCAATTCGGTACAACTTAAATGCAAGAATGTGCATGGTACACTTGAAATAAATTCTGAAAAATCATGAAAAATAATTCCAATAAAGAGTATGAAAGAGAAAACCAAAAATGCTTATGCCTTCCAGATATTGTCAAAGTTGATATTTGATGTGGGAAAACAAAATAAACATAACGAATGCCAAAAGAAGATTGTATAAGAAGCGTGAACACAGAAAGTGTACAATGTCTTACTACCCAATATCTACTAATAAGATCTCATCTCTCAAAAAGTGAAGAAAAGAATTATAAGCATATTCATAGTACATGTCGTGGTTATCTTCCTTATTATTAGAGTAAATATCAGGGGTGGGGTATACATACTTGAGAAAGGTCAGCAATGATAGAGCAAGATGGAGACTCCATGCACATTTTATCCTCAGATCTATCTTCTCCCGAGACAAGATGATTATCCTAATAAGTTCTTAGTCAATATAAATCATCAGGGGAAATATCGGATAGAACTTTGGGAAATCAATACATCTCAAATCGACAACAATCGAACATAGAAATCAAGGATATACTTAAGTACGAAGAGATAATGAACAATGAATCATTTCCAGGACATTGAGAAAGTGAGAGAAAAGAAATTCTGAAGGATTTGACACTAATCAGCATATAGGAAACTTGAGACGATTACCTTTACAACCCCAAGACAAGCATCTCCTAAATCAACTCTCTTAACTCCAAAAGCACGACCACCCATTGCATAAACCAATGGAAGAATCGATTCTTCATTCGCCCAGTAGCCTATTAAAATACTCAAGGCACTCCTGAATAATTGGAGAAATAGAAAGTAGATAATGTGAAGACATCTAGAAATTTAGAATTACCACATAACTTTTAAAATACAATAGCAGAAACAATTATTATTACTAATATTAATACTATTATTAGCCCCTTATGGAGTGAAAAGAACCTCATCATAGTAGTGGGTTCCATATATCGAAAAATATCATCAAATGCGGGATCACCCTTGATCTTATATACAAGGAACTCGGTCAATTTCCGGCCAGCTACACGCATATATCTCAACATCGAGCAGGGGGTACTCTTATCCTGTTATAAAAGAAAGAGTAACATGGTAAGGCAAGAAAGCCAACCTAAGTTGATGGTATAACTTAAACTCCGAATAAATTAAACCAAAGTAGTTGATTACCTTCAGAAGGATTCTAATGAAGTCACGGTTTCCCCAAATACTTTTCACTTTCTCAAAATGTTCCACTGCACGATTACTTAAGGTATGTTGTGAATTATTGTACAGGGTTTCAAGAAGTGCTTCTAAAGGCTGAACAACTGATTCATCTTTTAATACTTTATCAGCAAAACACTCGACGGTATGAGCCTGCATAAATGTATGTTTGAGTGAAACACAATTGCTAACCACTAATAAGTAAGTAAATAAACAAAAGAAAAGAACTACTCACATCAATAAGTTCATCAATCATAAATTCTTCGCCAAGTTCTGACCTCCATCTTGAATCCTAAAAAATCATTAAAATTCAAATGACCATCCAGAAGTTCAGGAATCATGGATCGTTCATCAAAGATACAGCATAATGCATCAAAAATAAATCCGTTAAAAATATCAGTTGAAGCTTTTAATTAATAATTAAAAAAGAGAGAATTGGTACAACCAATTCAAATGCACCCTTTGGAATCTTCACATACTCCCTCCGTCCCTATATAAAAGTATCCATTCGTTTTCCACACATTTTAAGAAAGTGGGTTTGGTTGGTACTGTTTGGCACTGTTTGGACACTGTTTGACACTGTTTGGCACTGTTTTGCACTGTTTTGTTTGCCAAAAAAGGAAAGGGAACTTTTATTTAGGGACGGCCCGAAAAGGAAACAGATGCTTTTATTTAGGGACAGAGGGAGTATCTTTTATTGATGGAAAAGATAATACTAATTGGAGAGAAATTATTTTTGTAAGCACCAGGTGCTTTTAGATTGAAAAAATTGACATGAATAATCCTATCTAAGAGCAGTCTTCTATATTAATCCCAAGTATGTATAATCTCAGTAACCAGTATAATCGGAACTGCTTGGACAACCTTCTCAAAAGATCCCAGTGACCTGCTAAACCAGTAAAAACACCATCGATGCTTCCGCCTTCCTTTTCTGTAACAAACCTAGTCGCCCCCTCTTTTCCCATAACTAAGAAAAAACAAACAAAAGGGTTGGTGTGACTAAGTAAAGGCTGTAAAGCTTCGTCTATGACTTGCAGGGGACATCCCTTCTTTTGCCTACTCCCCCCATTCACATTGTTCTCAAGTATAAAAGGAAGGGTGTGCAGCAGGTACCTCGAGCCCTCTGTCTCAGAAATCTATCCAGATGTACGTCTAGTTCACCAGTTCCACCTTGCAACAGTGGAACCATTAAAAGCCACTGTTGCACTGCCAGGCACCAAAGGAAGGTTTCCATCTGCCGCATTATCAGGATGGAGTAGAGCAAGATGCCTACTAGAACAACACTTTGGGTAAAAAGAAACATCCCGGTGGATGAAGACATACCCACAAGGCGAGGGTTCGGGGAAGACTCCCACGGTCCCACCACAAAGAACAACCCTTCAACTATCCGCTTAAATTTAATATGGAGCAGCCAAATTAGTTCTTCCCGCATATAAAATTGAAACAATTGAACAAGATTGTACAAGATGGCAAAACAGAAGGTGGAGAAAGTGCAGATGCCAACAAGGAAGGGGAAAGATAAAAAGTAGGAAGAAAGAAAAAGGAAAAAGAAAATAAAACTGAAAAAGATAGAAAAACTAGAAAGCAAACTACAATCTTACATGTGGTGTTGATGACATGCTTAACTTGTTTATGCAGGTTACGGCTCTTTTTATGGAGATATCCCAATAATTCATATTTTTCAAGAATAACCCATATTTCAGATTAATTAGTGAAGAGCGCTGATGGTCGAATATTTCCTATAAGATTATAAAATACTTTACCATGGGGCCACTGTCATGAGATGTTGTAGATTCATAATCAGGGTCACTGTCAAGAGATGCCGCAGATTCACAATCAGGATCACTATCAAGAGATGTCGCAAATCTACAATCAGGGTCACTGCCAAGCACATCTTTTCCACTCCAAAATGCGATCAAAATAATCAAGACAATCCTTCAAAAACAAACTTGGATAAGGTTACAAATATCAACATACATCAATGGTTCAGATACAAAAAATTTGGAGGGATTAAATTTTCAGTGGTTATCTTGTCAGAATTGTGTAAAAACATAACTTGTCAAGAAAGTGTGCATACTTCATGTAATAGAAAATAAGCTTAACCGAAAATTAAAAAAAAAAAAAAAATCATTGGGTTTCACCATTTAGATTAATCAAGCAGATGGACATAATATTCACTTCTAGCCCCTACAGCATGAATGTGGCACTCATGTGAAGTAATAACTAAGAAAGTTCAATCTCTTATGCAATGAATCTAATGCATTCATCCGTTGCACAATGTCATGTGAAGTCTATAAATATTCCCTTCCTAAGTAGTTAAATCTATACTTAGTGGCAACTTGGTCGATGGCTGAGTAGCGACTAGCGAGTAGGACCGATTACTCGATAATTACTTGGTCAATGGCTGAGTAGCAAGTAGGACCGCCACAAAATTTATTAGTAACATTAGTATAATAAGTCTACATATAAAGCAGAAAATAAAAACCCCATAGCAACTAGCATAAATCATAAATATTTTATAAAGAACCGTCAACTAATCAATTCTAATTTTTAACTTAGTAATGTCCTAAATTATTCTTGATGAGTTTTTTCAAAAGAAATTACTACTGCACATTACTCGGATATTAATATATAAGAACCAAATTCTGAGTAAGAAGTCTAAGAAGCTATGTTATTAAAACCAGACCGGTGATCGACCCAGCCGAGTGACTGGGTCACCGGTCAACCCGGATCTGGCACGTCAACCCGGTCAACGCTGGGAAACCCGGTCCATATATATAAAATTTTATAGTACTTAACATATAATAATATTAAAATAAAGTAAAAGCTAATTCGTCTTCACAATAATGAATTAATGTTAATACTTGGTAAACATTGAAAAAACACACATAATATTTTAAAATAAGTTGGAATCCTGTTTCAGTCGATAGTGTTATTTGATATTTATTTTTTAAAATTTCTAAATGATTTTGAAATGATTTTCTTTTACAAAATAAATATTCAAATATATCACATACATTTTTTTTGGGTTGGACCGGGTGGACCGGTCGGGTTTTAAAACATTGCTAAGAAGCAGGAAAAAAAAATGAAAAAGAACTCAGGTGTACAAAGAACTCACCAAGACATAACAGCTTCATGTGAAATTTTAAACATTGATACTTCCAAAACATAGAAATTATAATGTTCTTTTTCAGTTTAATAAAATAAAGTCCCTAATTGTTTTCAAATCCCAATCTTCAGTTTCAATCTTTTGAAAAAATGTCACGCTTTACATCCGAGCAGCGTGTAAAATGAGATACCGAGTCATGAAAATTGTCGAGTACTCTGCGATTATCTCTGTATCTTGGGGGAGAACGAGTAGGTAAGCTACTCGGCACGGTGCATGTCTGAGTACTCACTGAGTACTAGGCGAGTGCTTGCGGATTAGGGATGTTTTTACTTGGACTGTAATTTGCTGGTCTGGTCTGGTTTCTTTGTATTTTGTAACTATCCAAGTCTAGTCTGGTCTGAACTGGTCTGATCTGGTCTGGGACGAATTACAGTCCAAGTAAAAACATCCTAGATAACACAGGTCCCTTCATTGGAAGAGATTATTAACAAATACGCCACGTAACAAATGAGGCATCAATGGTAAATAAGCAACCTCATCATAGCAACAGGTTCTCTATCTTCTAATATAAGTTCCAAAGAGGGGTGATTCTTGATATAAGACATTTTTTCCTCAAACAGTTGATCCAAATCAGCTTGCTTTAGATAAGTGTCTATCATTGTGAGTGGGCACTGGAGCGAACACTGCAAAAACAAAATGAGAGGATAGTTCGTAACCATAGTAGTCAATGGCGAGATATGGCACGCGCCATATGGACTATCGCCATGAAAAATTGGTTGTCGCCAAAGCGCCATATGTGCCATTCATATATGTGTCATCGCCATGCACCATGAAAAATGCCTTTGAGCCATGGCGATCGCCATGCGCCATCAAAAATTCCTTTGAGCCATGGCGATCGCCATGCGCCATGACAATTATGTTCGTAACACAAGATGAAGTGATAGTTTGTCACTGAAATACCTGATTTAATGCACTACAAAGTTCCTGATTTTGCCAGATTTGCAATGATGCAAAACGTTTCCATGCATCAAGATTGAGAGTAACATGCTCATCATTGTCATTTTGGAGGGGTTCCAGGAGATCTTTCACCAATCGAACAAGATCAGAATCTAATGCCAGTTGGTGAGCCAGATTGTTGATGAACGGATCCTGCATAGATGCAAAAACCTTCACAATTAGCAAAGGGTGATATAGGTATTGAGAGAGCATCACAAAGCAACCCTATTCATTGGCATGATGTATTAGCGTGAAAAAATGTCACTTGAGGATGCAGTTTACTAGGGCCAACCAACATAATATAAGTAAAGATAATCTCACCACTGAAAGTATACAATGCATTATTTGAAACGAGAAAAAGAATATATGCAATGGAAACATGAGCACAAGTGCACAATATGTGGAGTAGTTGAGTCCTAACACAAAATTGTCAGTTCCAAATAGCCACTTTACTCCATATGATAACACTAAGAATAACGTGATAGTTAGATTCAAAGCACAAAATCAATCTTACAAACAGAGACAGAAGAGAATACTTTAACAAGTATGTACATTAACAAGCCGAGTAAACTGCGCAGAGACTGGTATTCCTGCAGCAACAGATACAACGGTTTGTATTCTCTTTGAACTTGGTACTTCATCAGCTAATGCCTCAGGAGAGGCTCCTCTTTTCTCTGAAGAGATTGAAGGTTCACAAGACATATTGCTTTTGCAGAGATTAGAGGAGGCTTGTCTTCCTGAAAATGTGTTTCTAAACATTTTAGTTGTGTTCAGATTTCCTCACGTTTATATCATAGCTATTTAAGGTAAGTTTACAACATAATCAATCAAACAGTTAACCTAAAATAGAATAAATTGAAAAAATGAATATGAGATAACTAATAAACATAAATTTGTTGGCTTTAGATCAATAATTCTCTTAACAGTTTATTCCATTCCAAATTTATTTTACAGTCTCCTCGTTTTCTTTCCTATAATTTTTCCTGGATCCAAATCGACTTGGATAGAAAGTGGAGAAAAACAAAATATAATTACACATTAAAGATACAAAGAAACAAAGAAAAATAAGAAATGAACAACAACAACATTACCCCAGTGCCGCAAAGGCTCTCACCTATGGTGGAGTATGGGGTCAGATGTACGCAGCCTTACCCCTATAATAAAGCAAGAGACTGTTTCCAGATGACCCGTGATGTAAAACGCATCGAAAATTGCATGGATTGACTAACTTCATAACAAAGAAGCGCAGACGGTTTAGTGAGCCATTATGCTTATTTCATCATAAAAAATAGTGAGTTTTTTGTTCCATTGGAAATTAGGGGTCAGTTGTGAGCATATCGTTTTGGTTTACCAGAACCATACCAAACTGAACTAAACCTAACTGAAACTGGACCATATGCAATTTGGTTTGAGTTTCGTAGTAATTCTTCCGAACCGTATTCAACTAAATCTAACCGAAATCGAGAAAAAGTGAACAAAATCGAACCAAATTCAAGAAATTCAATAAAACTTTCATATGTTATTAAAAATGATAAATTCAACCCAAATCCGAACCAAACTGAAAAATAGTATACTTTTGTTTGATAAAAAATCTTTCAATAAGTTCCAAACTGAACCGATAAAACCCAACCGAAAACCGATATGTCCACCCTATTGAAAATGATGGAACAACTACAACAACAACAAAAATAATTAGTAATAATAATAATAATAATAAACAATAATAGGACTAATATTAATAAAAAAACATCAACTTTCAAGCTAGCAGGAAGGATGGAACTCATAGAATGAAAGAAAAAGAAAGATGTTCTACCAACACAAAATGAACTACAAAAACGAAACAAATTAATAGTATTACACAAAAATAACTTAGATGCTTCACCTGAGGATGGAGGATGAAGGATGGTGGAGCCTGGAGCCTGGAGCATGGAGCCTGGAGCCTGGAGCGCGGCGATCGACGTACAGGGGATGGTCAAAGACAGGACCAGCCAAGCGAGCCAACTAGGACCACAGAAGGGATTTGGGGTTATTTTAGGTGATGGGGAAGAACGGCTTGATTCTAGTGGACCGGGGTGGAAGAAGAGGGGCTTGATTCTAGTGGACCGGGGTGGAAGAAGAGGCCTGGGGAACAAATGGGGTTGCTTTGCGGTTACCCGCGGTTACCCGAAGTTTTACCCGTTGGGGCGGTTATGGTTTGGATAAAAATTACCCATTGGGTAATGGGGCGATTACAGAGCGGGGAAATTACCCAACGGGGCAGTTACGGTTATATGTAAAACCGTCCTCGATCCGCCCTTTTGTCATCCCTACGTACCATCACATTAGAAGATGTTTTGGTACATTCAACATGTGGCGTACTCCTATTTGACATTCACTCCATGTCAGTTATTTCTTTTTAAAAAATAAAAATTGCAAAAGTGATCCTTGGAAAGTTAATGTTTGCCAAAAGGTATGTGTGGTTCCCTCTTCTGTTATCTGCTTTCCCTCTTCTCTCATTCCAACTCCCATTATTGGCCTCTTTCTTGCATAGAATTGCCCCTAGTTTCAATCCGATTGTCTCTCGCATCTGATGACCTAATCGTGTCGGCTTCTGACCGGTCGCTCAAACGAAATCTCAATAGGTAAGCTTTCTTTTCTTTTACATTTTTTTTCTTTCTCCTTAAAATGTCTTCACTTCTTAAATATTCATTGCATACTCCGCTAATCGGTATACAATATTTCAACGTTAATTTGTGTGTCTACTTTTGTTCCAGCGTGTACCCCATGAATTTGTTTTTTCCATGCCTAAAAATATCAATTTTCTTTTAAATTAATTGCTTGTTTCTCATTACTAACTTAAAATAGTATATGCTCTCCTTTAAACTTGGAAGTGCGCTGTAAGAAAAGGAATGGAGATGGATCTCGAGTTCTATCTCCACCTCATCCGTCCTTCTCTTTCTTTTCTGCATAAAGTTCAAAGTGCTGACAAGAAAATTCACTCCAGAGAGAAAGTAATACTATCCTCCGTTCCAGAGTATATACTATGGTCTATGTCTTCATCTTCGTTGTATGTTATCAGCTCCCTTTGTATTGATTATTGAATAACCTCTACAATTGGCGCAGATCCATTCCATTGGATGCGTGTTATTCTTGCTTCAAATAGGGATAGTATCATGAAGCTTGGAATCTCCCCTATTGTGACTTCTAAACTTGCCATAACATTTTTATAGTGCATATTATTCATTTTCCCGCCATTTAATTGGCAGGCTATAACTGCAAATATAGAGAACTTGTTTTTTGCATGGTAGGCAAACTTTTTCTACAAAAATCAAAATGTTATTGCATAAAATTTGAAATTAAGAGAGAGTTGAATCAACCTATGAAATGTAAATGAGACGTATCATTTGAAAGGAATGAAAGACTGGTGTTCAAAAAGCCCCACACAGTTGACTCGGATGGGTTTAATAGGATCTTAGATGGGTTACCCAGAATGAAATAAAAACATTGAAAGCTGTCTATATGAGTTTAGTCCTTTCACGTAACTGGCCAAATATAAAACAGAAAAATACCCAAATAATACTAAAACATGTGACTTTTTCCAAAATATGACCATGTGTGTTTAATTATCATCCGTATGACCAAACATGCAAGAGAAAATTAACTCTCATATGACTAAAACTAGATAGGTTTCCCAATGTATGACTTGCTCTTTATTTTTCCGAGTCTGATGCGTCAATGCCATGTATGGTGACGTATTATTATTTTTCTTTTTCCTTATTCCATCATTGCCCTCTAGAATGCTCAATACATCAACATAGGGTGAAACGTTTCCCTTGTTTTTCGGTTACATGATAGGCCATTACATATCCGTGTTAATTAATACTCCTAAAAAATTGGGTTTATCCGTATATGGTAACTACCGTTGGTGTTAATATTATAGTTGTTGGGAATATTTTACGGTGTTCAATCTAGTTAGTTATCTTTGTATTTGTGTAGTTATTAATTAAACGTGTAATACGGGCCACTAATGAGTATCAGCCCGTGGGCTTCCTTGTAACCCGTAAGTTAGCCAACTTCTCCTGTAAAAGGAGGCTAACTTACGGGAACCCTAATCGATCGTTAGAGGCTAAGAGGCGCAGAGGCGAGATAGAGAGAAATTAGGGTTGCCGCTGCTCTCCTTCTCCAGGGAGAGTAGCGGCAGGTTCATACGGTATACCAGATTTGGGGTTTAATCTTGTCGATTTCTTTCTTTCTGCTTCTTTATCACTGCTTATGGTTGTATGATTGTTAGAATTCTGGGATTAACAATTGGTATCAGAGCCGAGGCGTGACACAGGTTGGATCTATCTGCGATTTTTGGATCTAACGAAGAACTGCTCTGTTTTTTCTTCTGTTTTTCTATATGTAGAGATTTGCTCCTGTAATCTCGTTTGCGAACGAAATTTTGTAAAAATCATACTGTTGGACTCGCCTTTCAAAACCGATCCAGCAGCATACCTCTTTTTTCGTTTTCTGCAATTTTTATATTTCGAAGATCTCTACATTGAGATCTCGAAATCCTTATTTTTCACTGATGCAGAAACGTTTTTGGCTTGAAACTGATACAGGAGAATCTCGACTTTCAGGGCTATTCAGAACAGGTTTCAGATTTTCAAAAATCAATGTTTTCGTTTTGCAGGATCTCGACATTTAGGGACTCGATTTCCTCTTCTCGACTTTTGAGATCTCGAGATTTGCATCTCGACATCTTGATCTCGAGATTTGCATCTCGACATCTTGATCTCGAGATTTGCATCTCGACATCTTTATCTCGAGATTTGCATCTCGACATCTTTATCTCGAGATTTGCATCTCGACATCTTGATCTCGAGATTTGAATCTCGAAATCAAGATCTCGAGATTTGTAATCTCGAGTTTTGGAATTTCGAGTTTAGGAATTTCGAGTTTTGGGATTTCGACATTTGGGATCTCGATGTTTTGAATCTCGACTTTCTGAAGATTTCGAGATTTTCAAAATTTCTCGATGTTTTGAATCTTTCAAAGTTTGCAGTTTCTTGGAACTCATAATTCGAATCTTGACATCCTTTGCAGTTCATCGAAGCTTTACATTATAAGGATCTCTGAATGATTCCCTGCTTATATAAATGTTTCAGGAGTTTTCGATGTTCTGATGTTTTTCAAACAGCAAGTTTTCGAGATTATGAGGTTTTCGAAACTCCAAAGTTTTCGATGTTCAAACATTTTGAAATTCTGCAGATTTCGATATTCTGAGGTTTGTTTTGCAGGTGGATTTCGCCATTATTCTTCGAGGCAACCTCGAGATTTGGATTTCGAAGTATTGCCTTAGAATTTTGTTTAAAATCCACCTGCTCTCGATATTCATCATCGAGAACCTCAACTTCGAAGAAATTCCTCAAAAACTCAAAATTAGAGATTTTCTGCGACACCGCACTGTTTTGGCCATAACTTTTGACTCGGTGATCCGATTTGAGCAAACTTTTTTTTGTTGGAAAGCTAACGAAAAGATCTACATTAATTCTCGGGCTATGCCCCAGAACCCATTCTCACGCGCCCTCACTCGCAGTCCTTGAGGGTCAAAACGTTAGTTTTCCGACAAACATTGAAAATCACCGATGTCCAGGTCAAAACTTAGGCAAATCTGTTCAAATTCTTTCAATGTCAACCCTGAGGTCAAAGCTTTTATAAACTTCAATGTAAAGGTCTGATAATCGTAGATAATTCAATCAACCTCGCGTCAACGGTCATCTTACAACAATCAACAATCAACTGCTAAAGCCTCCCCTGACTCATCAACATTATGTGATCATCAATATGCTGAAATTCTACATGGTGAGCTCAGGGAAACCGTCATGTGTGGTACATGTTTAGATTGCTCCACACACATGGCGGGTATGACAAGCTGTGAGCAATCAATCCTTGCACATTCTGAGGGGGAGTTTCAGTTTTCTCCTCCTGGCGCCTTACACCGACAAAGCAAGGAATCTCTCAACGGATGCAACATTCTAGGGGGAGTGTTCAAAGTAATCCTCCTCGGTGCCTAACAATGACAAAGCATACCGAGTGCTCCAGTTGAGGGGGGGTACAGAGAGAAAATGAAGAAAGTAATGAGAGAACATGTCCCTATGGCTTAGTAAACCCAACTAAGCCTACCCAAGGGACAAAGCCGAGCGTAAGTGCGTAAGTGAGTGAGTGAGTGAGTGAACATTATGAGCATTAGGAAGCAGAAGGCTCGAGTGAGAAGGAAACAATTATCAATGATGAGTCTGTTACCTCAATTGCCTGCTAAGAATTGACCATTTGCTCATAGCCACTAAAATACTCTGGACTATCCCCATAGGTTCAGGACTCAATTTATTCAGATCCCGGGTAGAAGTCGCTGCATTTTGTCCAAACGGCGCATGCACAACCCTACCCTTGACCACTCACTTGTCTCCCAACAGACAGGTGTTTAATCATAGTTCACGGGGAACCACATCTCTCATTACTGTCTCCTTCCGAGGCAAGTAATACTGACTACAGTGCCCTCAGCCCCATGCCACTGAACTTTCATTGATCACGTCGTGTCTAGTTACCTCACTCCCAAATGTTTTGAATTTTCTAGGACACCGACGCACTTTTTAAGTCAGTTGCAGGTCTTCAATGACCCGCGAGAACTTCCATAGGTCTCATCTACTGGAGATGTAGACTAATGATTGGAAGGAAGTCCTGCTGTTGCAACATAAGAATCACCAACATTTTCAGGCCATTGCTAAAGAGTTTTTCTCTATAGTGATGATAACGGGCGTCTTCACGACCCCGGGGGGCTACGTTATCTTTTTTAGATTCTGCTTGTTTTTCATGTTTTTATTTCCGCAGAATAAAAGAATAAAAGCATGACGTCCCGATTCATCGGATCGTCATGAGGGGGAGAGTGGTCCACATGCTGTTAACACTGAACAAATCATTCTGGGACACTTCACTCCTCCATCACAAAATTCAACACCCTCTCTACTATCCCCGCA